GTCAGATTTGTCATTCTAAATTATTTAACAATTTAACCTAATCTTGCAGAACTCTATTCAACTATTATTACTTATTTTCATTTGAATTTAAGTTGAGAAAGCGAAGCCTTTTCTAAATAGTTGTAAAGAAAGATGTCTTTAAGAGTGTTTTAAGATTCATTTAAACAAAAGAATTTAGAAGTAATCAAGAAAGCCTAGAAAAGCAGGACTTGCAGATAATTCCTTTGTTTAGCCATAACTTTATCTCAATACCTTTCTAAATATCTTTAAGGCAAAGATTTAGAAAATATATATTTCTGAACATCATTTTATTATGCTAAAGCAAATTTTAACCATGCTAAAATGCTTATTATAACCCTATATATTTCTGTATCTTCGTTCTTCGAGAAATCTTCTCTGTGTAATGACAAAATAATATGACAAGTTATCCACTTCGAATGGACATCTTTCAGTCTTCTCTCTTCCATATTGCATTGATGCAAAACATCATCATCTGTGGCTCCCTGATCCCTTGAAATGGGGTTGAGAGATTGCATTAAGTGCAATTACAAAATATGTTTACGTACATTTATGCATTTTATAATCTGTAAATGTATGTGAGCGGTACGGTCGCCCAAACATGACGCATATGTTTTGGTTTTGAGACAGAGACCAACAGATTCGAATGAATCATTTACATTCAGACACACACCACAAATGTCCCCATAATCGGAAATACGAATTCGACTCAAACAAAACTCCACTGAGTTGCTATCTGAGAGATACATGGAGAAAAGGGATACCATTCTTTGATATGAAGCACATGCATTAATCATAGAATAACTATAAAGTAAAATATCATTTAACTTGTTGACATTTTGTTTATATTAATCTTCTGTTTAAATCTGTAATTTACTTAGTGGTTTATTTAACGTATTATTTAATGTGGTGAAGCCCCATTAAATTCCCGTTTAATAACATTTTCATTAAATTTTTCTCAGTATCCACATGTTTCCTGCCTGGGGGAAATGGGGTGTGGTGGTGATGGTGACGAAAATAATGCAATAAGAAAACTACACCAACAACAGTAGCGTGTAAGCGCGGAAAACAAAAGTGTGGAAAAAAAAAGATAGAATTAAAATAAAATGCATGCCATGTTCAAGAGCTGATGGCTGTCGCTTTTCCCGGCCACATGTGGTGGCATCGGTCCCTTGGGGGATTGCAATTTCCAGGGAATTATGAAAATTAGCCAAGCCAGAACACAAGCTGGCTCTCCCTGTCTTTCTTGTATTTTCCTTTCTCCTTCTCGGTTGCTTTGTTAAGTGAATTTTGTGCAATGAACAACAAAAAAATGGAAGAAAAAGAAAATTATTATTTTATTTGCATACATTTTTATAGAGACAAGCCACCAAAAGAATGAGCCGAGCACAGCGAAGCAATGCGACTGCCTGCGTATCCATGAGATACACATGTGATTTGCATGTGCGGTTCGTCATTGGCTTCATGATCATGATCATGATCACTGTCGCCTGACTTGCGGATTGAATGCAATGATCGTTATGATGATGACTATGACAATAATGACCATTATGGTATTCATAATGTTTGACTGCAATTTACTATTTACACTTCATTTAGCGGCGACAACTTTAAGTGAAATGTGTCCACATTGGGCTGAGTAGTTTGCTCGCTTTCCTGTATCTGTGAGATACTCGCTTGGGGGCTCTCGACGAGCTCCTGCATGATGAAACAATAAGAAATAATAAGCATCGCAATTGAATAAAGCTGAGCCCGCAGCTCCAACTAATTGGCGAATTAGCTCAAGTGTGAGGATAGTCCCCCAAACAAGTGGATTGTATAAGGAGTGAATCTCGGGAATGGGTTCACCGAGAACTACATACATATATAGTACTTTAACTACCAAAAACACTCACTTGAAAAGCTTTTCCCCCGCTCACACAACTATTGAGTAATAAGTCCTGAGTTTTGGAGAGTTCTTTTGGAATGCATTTCGTTTGTAAAAATATTAACATTTTTAAAATGCAAAAGGGAAAGATTCTTTTGGTGTTTTACTAAGCATTGCCTACTTTTCAGCGGTTGCAAATAGGGAATATTCTGGAGAGAAACAAGTATCTCATTTGGAGACATAATACTTATGCTATTATTTTGAAAATTAAACATATTAGCCTTTCTATAGCTGTCAAAAATAAAGTATAATTTTTATTGTATATTATAAATGAAACCCTCTGCATCAATATCATTTAATATTGTTGAATACTGCTCTATATATCAGGTATGTTTTGTTACTAAGTAGTATTATCCAAAAATTGCCTTATAATACACTAAAAGATCACCTTCAAGAACGCTTTTAAAAACATTATTGACAATAGTTTCATATTGACCATCACCGATATCATTATAATGATTTACCCCTATTCTATATAATATATGTTTATATCAGCTTTTGCCTATTGCGAAACCCTTCATGACCTCAAGCAAACTGTATAATTTGTTTACTTTATATCACAAAGTGACGCAAGGCGCTTCCTTTCATTATCTATCATGGAAATTAATGAATGTTCAAAGCGGATATAAAAAGTATATAAAAGCAAAAAGCAGATAGAAAAATATGGGTTATTTCTTTAGTTGTCTGCCGCTGAGGCTATTCTAAGATCTAGATACGAAAGTACAAACTTTTTAATTATATTATAAAAGAAGAAGCGCCATAGCCAAGCATAAAGGCAGTATGCAAAACCAATGGAGTTCGCGTCTGGGCGATAACCTCCTATCACATATCAGCAGGCAAAATGGGAGAGTCGAGTCCCTCCTCGATTTATAAAGTGGCATTCAGTGGCTCAGGCCCCTGAACCTCCGCCATGCATAATAGCCCTGGAATTACAGGAGGCGCAGACATACAACTTGGCTTTCGGTTAGGGGTAAAAAATAAATAAATACTATAAGCACTCTCAGGTGACACAAACCCAGGCTATATAGCTGAAGCTATATAGCTAAAGCCAGTCAGGGGGGACTATAAATATTCAACAAGTGGGCTTGTAAGTGAGCTTGGCGTATATATAAGCCACAGTATTTAGTCGCTTCAGAGTGTTTGCCATTGCGCATATTTAACCCTTTGGGGTTAAGTTAAACTTTACAATTACGTTTCACAGCGCTTAAATTTTGTTTTTGTGTGTGAGCCTTCCTTTGTTTCGATTTGCTGACGCCCTTTTTGTTTCTAGGCTGTTTCAATTGCAACTTTAATTCCACCATCAGCAGTTGCAGCAGCAGCGCCAGCAATTTTCTTAATCAATAAACAAATTATAAACATTTTATAATGATTACTGGGCTTATCGGCTGGTAAGCGGTCTTATCAAGGCCACGGCGCTCTATTTATAATACCATTATTACTGCCAGCGAATGCGATTTTCAAATGATTTCGTTTGGTTGCCACACGTGGCACGTGTTTCATTCCATTTCTTTTCTTTTCTTTGCAGAAAGAGGTTTGAACTTTGACTACAAATATATCATTTATAACTCGATCGATGTGATTGAAATCTTTTCAATTCATAAACGATTATCGCGAATATTTTTGGAAAGTTTATGGCAATGTTTGTTGAGCATTTATAGGAAATATCTTTAGTTATAAAAGTACTTGAAAAAAGGGAAAATAATGTGTACTTAACTTGAAGTAATTTTCTTGGAACCCTAGGAAAAGACCTTTCAGACAGATAAGGTATATTATAGTTATAATTTAAGTACTAATTCTGTTCAATTATTTACAAATTTGTTCTTATTTCATAGTATTATATTAATTACTTAAAGCTTACCAGACTCCTGCAACTCCTGTTCCATTTTCTCCACCTTGTTGACCTTCATTAGCTGCCCATCGGTTACAGTCAAATCCTGTGGATGTTTCATTGTTTATGGCCACGTTTTATATTTACAGGTTACAAATGGTTAACAAAGGGTTCTCCAATCACATAGTCATAAAGTTTGTGCCCCGGCAACTGCAAAAGGGGGAACATGGCGATCGATTAGCTGTCATATATCAATCTATTGCTGGACAAATTAAAGTTTTAATGATTGTCCGATAATCGAACTGAAGTATCGCCTGTAAATCTACAAATATACTTGTTCGAAGCACACATTGTATGGAGGTGTCAACATGAGTGCTCACATTACATGGTCCCTCCATTGGATATAGTTAGGAGTCATTGGGTTTACGATCCCCCCAGGTGATATCAGTGATGTGCCAGACACACCTGTACTATAAACCAAAGCTGTACTCCACCTCTTCAAACATGAAAACTCACAAAAACACAAACCCGAAAAAAATACCCAAAATCATAATCTTCAATAACTTTATTGACTGGCCCAGGGCGGCTGATAAAAAAGAAGGTAAAAATGGTAAAAAAAATATATATAAACTGTTGATAACGCTGAAACACAATTTCTGATTATCAGAAATTTATTGTTTCTTCTGCCCATTTTTTACCATTATGCGAACTTTTTTAATTCTCTTTTTTCTCTTTTCGCTCGAGTGCCAGAACAGCCGATAAGCTCCATGGACTCTATGGGGACTACAGTCTCGTCTCTCGTATTACCTTTTATAGCTCTCTGTTATCTCTTATCAGTTAGTTACCACTGACTGACGCAGACCCCCTCGGCGGCACTGTCACCAGTGTCTCACCTTTGAACGCTGCTGACTGTCGCGAGTTGCTTCAAATCGAGTATTATTTGATGCAAAACTAAGTATTTGTTTATATAACAATATTAAAGATAATTTTAGTGGGTATTTTACTTTATTTAGATAATATTTTGGGAAAAAATAAAAAGCAAAGCTAGGAGAACTCATTCATTATAAGGGTACAACAGTTACGACCTTAGGCAAACTTTCTTAAGGGGTACTCTATACTCCATATTCTAATATCATGACAAGAACACTTTTAGGGAACATACTTCATGACATTATAGTATTCAAAAACAAACGATGAAAACTTCACCCAATTAACTTCAAATCTGAGAGGTTATTTGTTAAACCCTTCCAAGTGTTCTTTGAACTAAACTTCTCTTGAACCCTCACATTCGATTGACTTACACTTCAGTTTTAAAATCATTTCCTAAAACCTAGTACGTTCACCTGCATTGAGTGATATTTTCTTTAAAAAGATTATACTTTACTTTTTTGTGGTTTTTAAAACGTATATATCTCACTAGTAGCTTTAAAATTTAAGAATGTGTTCCCGTGATCCGGCCTCGAATCAATTAATCGACTATAAAACCAATGACTCTGAGGAGCAAAGGCAATGCACAACTTCTAGTGGAACTCCAGTTGCCGGAAGGGATGCCATACAAACGGTGGGTCCAAGGGGTCCTGCCCTGCTCCAGGACTTTCAGTTTTTGGATGAAATTATGAGTTTCGATTGCGAACGAATACCCGAACGTGTGGCCTATGCCAAGGGAGCTGGAGCTTTGGTTACTTTGAGTGTACCCATGATATATCAAAGTTCTGTGCAGCCACAATTTTCGATAAGGTAAAGAAACGCACAGCCGTTGCCATGAGATTTTCCATGTCCTGCGGTGAGAATGGTTCGGCGGATACGATCCGTGGAGAGCGAGGATTTGCTGTGAAATTCTATACAGATGATGGCATCTGGGATATGGTGGGATGTAATATGCCTGTGTATTATGTGCGGGATCCTTCGCTATTCCCAGCCTGATACATGCCCAAAAGCGTAATCCACAGACCCATCTCAGGGATGCGGATATGTTCTGGGATTTTATGACCCTGCGTCCGGAGACTCTGCATGCCCTGCTCATGTATTTCAGTGATCGGGGAACCCCCGATGGATATCGTCATATGCATGGCTTTGGAGTGCACACCTATCGCATGGTTAATTCGAATGGGGAAACGCAGTATGTGAAGTTTCACTTTAAAACCGATCAGGGCATCAAAACCTGACAGTCGACGCTGTGATGAGCTAAAGTCCCACGACCCGATTATGCCATAAGGGATCTATTCAACTCGATCAAGAAGGGCAATTATCCCACTTGGAGTATGTTTATACAGGTAGGTAATTTAAGGAATAATCACTATTATTGTAATTAATGTTTTTCGTTTAGGTAATGCTCAATGAGGAGGCCAAAAAGTGTCGCTTTAATCCCTTTGATGTGACCAAAGTGTGGCCCCAAAAGGACTTTCCCCTGCTGCCAGTGGGCAAGATTGTCCTGGATCGTAATCCCACCAATTATTTCACGGAGGTCGAACAGTAGCCTTTAGTCCGGCTCATATGGTACCAGGAATCGAACCTTCGCCGGATAAGATGCTTCAGGGTCGACTCTTTGCCTATGGAGACACTCAGCGGCATCGTTTGGGCATTAATTGCATGCAAATCCCTGTCAATTGTCCCTACAGGGTTAATGTAAGAAACTACCAACGCGATGGCCCCATGACAGTGACTGATAATCAGAGTGGAGCTCCCAATTACTTCCCAAACTCTTTCTGCGGTCCCAAGGAAAGTCCCCGAGCAATGGCCCTGCAAACGTGCTGTCCTGTGACTGGTGATGTTTATCGCTACATGAGTGGTGATACCGAGGATAACTTTAGTCAGGTCACCGATTTTTGGACATATACTTTGGACAATTGTGGAGGAAGCGATTGGTCCGAAACTTGTCTGAGCATCTGTCCGAGGCCAGTCAGTTCCTTCAGGAGCGTGCCGTTAAACTATTTACCATGGTTCACTCTGATTCGGTCGCTTGATGACGGAGGCCCTAAACACGGCCAAGATATCCAAGTTCTAGGAAGTCTAGAAGCCTAATTTGATAAGCTTATATCAAAATTAATGTGATGTAAATTCTAGGATAAAGATACCTCCGTTTAAGAATGTGAAAACTGCAATTTAATAAGTGGTTTTAAAGTAGTAAGGAAATCATCTAAGTTATCATGTTCAAATCCATGATCTATAGGGAATACTTTCTTTAACCTTTAACCTTCATGCACCGGTACTGCATACTTTTGGGGTTAAGGCTGGCTTCCAGAAAATGATCATATATCCCACCTATTTGGTTATCTAACCGATGTGTTAACAGGTCTTATCCAAGCTTGATGCCCTTTCGGAGACCTCTCCACCGCCCACACAGTCAGATCTGTCATTACCGAGTCGCTCGCCTTGCATATTCTACACGTGCCTAGGGTTGTTTGCTTAATTAATATGTTTATCAAGTAAGATTGTCTTTTAACATTTGTATTGTTTTAAACTGTTTTATATTTTTTACTTCTGTTAGTTCTGTTTAAATCGTATAGGAGTTAAATAATTTTTTTTAGGAACTTATCTTTCATTATGGTGTTTTCGCATTAATGTACCAATTGCACCATTTAGACGTACTGCACACACCACACTCTTGATTATAAAAACCAAAAAGCTTGTCTAACTAAAACGTTTAACAAATATAGGCGGGCTGTAATAAATAAACAATTCAGTAAATAGGAAAGGTTTCCCAACCAGTTGGGTGACTTGAACTTACTTAAAGCTCAGTGGCCAGAGCGATATTCTCGCTGTTGTTGTTTATTTGACTGCAATCTTTTTTTTTTTTTTTTTTTTTTTTTTTTTTTTTTTTTTTTTTTTTTATTATGTATTACTAAATAATGACTAAGGCGCACATGAGTCTTCCAGACGACTCTCGGTTGCGATCATTGGTGCGTGAAACTGTGTAAGAACAATTCACTGAAATTTGGCGTCAGATGGCGGTAGAAATACTAAAGTTCGGATCACAATTCTGCAACAAATACTTTATCGTATGGCCGCCACTCTGTCTGCAACATGTTTGGGCAGTAGTGTTTTTTTAATTCGGCTTTGCGGCGTCGACGCCGACGCCGACGCCGACGTCGACAACGTTGCACGCTCTAACATTGACACCGACGCCAATAAAAAAAATAAATATCTGCACATAAGATTTAATGAATTTACTATCTACTCCATCCTTTTTTTAAACGTATATTTCCCATTTATGTCAGCAAGATTTTTTAATCTTAATATTTTTACTAAAAAGTTTAGCCGCCAACTAAAAAAATTTTTTATAAATCTTCACGGATCGCTGAACGCCAGTGAAAATTTTCTGGAATTCTTGCTGGCGCCCGTCTATAACATTTTTACACATATACATCTTTCTTTCATGTAGATGTACATGGTGAGGCACTGCTAACTTCATATGGAAGGGTAACTTTGAGTTTTTAAAAAAATAAAAAAAAATATAAAAAATTGAGCGACAAATTTGATTCTTTCACGAATAATTAACGAATAATGAACGGCAAATTCTGGCGTAAAAAGTTTTTGGAAATGTGAAGGATTTCAGGAGTTGTCCTGCTAACTTGATATCAACTTAGCAGGGCAACTTTGAGTTTTTAAAAAATAAAAAAAAAAAAAAAAAAAAAAAAAAAAAAAAAAAAAAAAAAAAAAAAAAAAAAAAAAAAAAAAAAAAAAAAAAAAAAAATATAAAAAATTGAGCGACAAATTTGATTCTTTCACGAATAATTAACGAATAATGAACGGCAAATTCTGGCGTAAAAGTTTGGAAATGTGAAGGATTTCAGAGTTGTCTGCTAACTATATCACTTAGCAGGCAACTTTGAGTTTTTAAAAAAAAAAAAAAAAAAAAAAAAAAACAAAAAAAAAAAAAAAAAAAAAAAAAAAAGAGTTGTCCTGCTAACTGATATCAACTTAGCAGGGCAACTTTGAGTTTTTAAAAAATTTAAAAAAAAATAAAAAATTGAGCGACAAATTGATTCTTCACGAATAATTAACGAATAATTAACGGCAAATTCTGAGTAAAAAGTTTTGGAAATATTAAAGTTTTCAGAAGTTGCCCTGCTAACTTGATATCAACTTAGCAGGACATTAAAAAATTAGTTAAAAAATTGAACGGCAAATTTTTTCTTTCACGAATAATTAACGAATAATTAACGGCAAATTATGGTATAGTCAAAAATTTGATTTTTCAAAGTTGCCCTGCTAACTTGATGCACATTAATTAATATGCGTTTATAAACACAGTAAGATTCGTCTCTATAGACATATTAAAGTCAATTGATTATTAAGACTGTTTGATAGGTATTTTTATGGAGCTTCCTGGTTGAGTTCTATTTAATAATCGTATAGGGAGTATGTAAAATAGAATTTCATGATAATTTCACAAAGGAAAACTCATATACTTTCAATTTAATGGGTTGTTTTCAAGCATTAAAATGTCACCCAATATTTGCACCCACTGTTTTGTAACGCACTGTACTGCACACACACACTCTTGATTATAAAAACCAAAAGCTTGTCTAACTAAAACGTTTAACAAATATAGACGGGCTGTAATAATAAAAAATTCAGTAAATAGGAAAGGTTCCCAACCAGTTGGGTGACTTGAACTTACTTAAAGCTCAGTGGCCAGGCGATATTCTCGCTGTTGTTGTTTATTTGACTGCAAGCCTTTTATCAGCTGGTTATTATTATATTATTATTATTGTTGTTTTTCGATTGTTTTTGTTGTGATTATTTGTTGCTTTGTTGTGGAGTTGAAGGCATGAATGAAAAGCGAAATAGCAGAGCAGACACACACTTGTTGATTTCCTTATACGAAATTCGTGGCTCGTTATAATTAAAGTCGCTGCTGCGCCGGTTAATTTCTGTTTATGTCTGTCTCTCTCCCCTCTTCGTATTACTTTTATTATTATTTGCTATTGTTGTTGCTGTTGCTGTATTGTGTCTGGAGAGATATTTTTATGTTTTGTTTTGAGCACAAACAAACACACACACGCACGCCACTCTTTTGATTTTGACTTTTGATTTTTTATTGCACTTGTTGCTGCTGTACTGCTACTGAGGCGATATTCATCTCGGGCGTTTAATTAAGCCCGTACGAGTGATTTTGCCAGTTGTATAACTGGCACACTGCATATTCATTTATTTCAATCAAAGTGGAATATATGTATATAACTTTAACATATCGCTGCTGCTGCTTTGTTTTTCAGTTTTCCTTTTCGCCGCCGTCTTCGAACGTCACTTGAATTCAACTACGGCTTCTGAGTTCCGTTACAAAAGCGCCAACAATGCCTCTCCCTCTCACTTATCACTCACTGCTCCCACTCTCTCTCGCGGCGCTCTCGCACACACACACAAAGACACACGAGGGGGCTGTGACTGCGACTGCGACTGCTGCTGTTACGTAGTTGTTTTTGCCAAACAAAAAATTCCGTTTACTTTATTATTTTAATATGCATTAATGCATAAATGGAGCGTGTTGTGGTTCTTAAGCATGGCTTTGGGTGGGCGGGGGAGCAATGTGCGCGGCTGGCAAACTACAGTTGATTGAACCCGCTAGCACACACACACGCGTACGCACACTGTCGCATTCCAATTGGAAAAAAGAACCCGGCGGACCGACCGATTGACGATTGGCGAATGAAATCAAAGTCGCCAAACCGAACGAAAAAGAGGGGGCAGCAAGTGAAACTAAAACAATAACACACACATGCCCACACAACGCGACGAATGGTGAAAAACGCGTGTGGCAAACCAGCGCCGATAATATCACATTTTGTTGTTAAATTTCAGTCTAACAGAGTTCAAAACGGAGCCACGCGAAAATAGCAACAAAGCAATTTGCTGAGAGTGAGAGTACTGACCGTCCGTGTGACTGCGAGTGTGAGAGTGTGACTTCTATCACGTCAGATTTTCGCCGATCTTCAGGGGGAGTTGCCAGATTGTCGCAAAAAGGGATGATCTGGTGGCATGATGGGACGTTAGAGTTGTCAGGCCAGCGCGTTTTCCCTTAATTCTGGAAAAGCTTTTGAGAAGCGCGTAGCTTAATTTGGCTTATAATTTAGTTTTTGATAAGAAGTTGGCAAGTTTACATACCAAATTTCCTTAATGGAAATTTTTCTAAGCTGTTCCTACATTTTAAAAATCAAATTTCACGATTTTTTTTAATGTAAAATAAAGAACAAAAAGGTAAATTCACCTTAAAACCAACAGAAAATCTGATTAAATTATTAATATTTTAGAAACTATTTGCCTAAATGTAAAAAAATCATATAAAATCGATTCAAATATGTTATAAAAACATAATCCTACAGTTAAGAAAACACAATTTCAAGACATTTTTCATAGGAAAATTAAAAACTATTAATGTAAATGACAAAAGGCCACAGAAAAAAAATACAAATCGAATAAAACTATTAATATTTACGATATTAATCAACTAGAATGTCGAAAAATTAATAAAAAATCTTTTTTAATATGTTAGAAAAAAATATTCCTACAAATGAATATAAAATTATCGGACATTTTCCAAAATAAAATTGACAACAATTAAAATAAATTACAAATGCTATCAAAAAACAATACAAAATTTAATACAGTTATTAATATTTAAGATTATTAATAATTTATAATTAAAATGCCGAAAAATTAAAAAGTACAATTTCCGGAGTTTTTCAAAATAAAATTGAGAATAATATAATAAATAATAAATGTCAAATGCCATCAGAAAACAATAAAAAAATTAATAAAATTATTAATATTTAAAATTATTATCAATTAAAATGTCGAAAGATGCATAAAAAAAATACGCCTAAGTATAATAAATGGCAAATGCCCCCTAAACCATTAAAAAATCGAATAAAATAATGAATATTTAAGAAATCTGTCGTTCAATGCCTCGAAAAATCATATAAATCTTTTCAAATATGTACAAAAGGCTCAGGCAAGATTTAAAAAATAAATCTTTATGACTTCTTAAAAGTAAAATTGAGAAAAAATATAGTAAATGACAAATGGCCACAAAAAATTAATATGAAATCGAATGAAATTATTAATATAAAAGTTACTTATCAGTTAAAATGTCTTAAAATCATAGAAATCCTTTAAAATATGTAAGGAAAAGCTAATCATTACATTTGGAAAATACAATTTCAGGACTTTCTCAAGTAAAGTTGAGTACATTTATAGTGACTGTTCAAATGCACCTTAAACCAAGAGAAAGTCTAATAAAATTATTAATATTTAAGATATTATCAATTAAAATGTCGATAAATCATAAATATCTTTCAAAAGTGGTAGAAAAAGCATTAAAAAATACAATTTCTGGACTTTTTTAAAAATAAAATTAAGAACAATTATAGTAAAGGTCAATGGCCCCCTTAAAACAATTTGGCAATCGAATGAGTTATTAATATTTCAGAATCTTAACGCTTATAATGTCGAAATATCATAAAAATCTTGTATATGTTAGAAAAATTGGTTTATTGAGATATTTTTTTTGCCGTCTAACTGGTATAGTGGGTCACTATGGGTATACATATATGTATATATAATTGTTGCTTTTACATAGTTATGAATTAATTGTATGTGAATGCTCACTACGATTATAAAATATATATAAATATATTTTAAAATTGTACATGTTTGAATATTTACAGTTAATTTAGCACATGTACCACATGATTGTGTGTTAAATAAATAATAAATTAGCATAAAGCATACAGCATATATAGCGTTATAGCAATATAGAGAGAGGGGAGCTTCGTCACTTTCTGTCACTTTCTCCATTAGTTTATGAAATGCGCTTTCTGGGCGACGACATTTTAGTGGTTTTACACTTGGTTTTTGTTTTATTTATATATCATATATTACGTATAGCTTTAACTAGGTAAAAGAGTGTACTCCGAATACGATTAGACACCGTTTAAGTTAGTTTTAAGTTTTGGGTAGGGGAAAGTAGAACGTAAATTGCACTAGGCCTTAGATTAGACATAAGCTTAAATTGTCATGTGCTGGAACTTGAATACAGGTACGAATTAGCAGCGATCCCGGTTGTTATAGGCCTGCACCTTGGCCACGGTGCACTCGAGGGCCGCCCGAACATCCGTGAACACAGGCACGCCTTGGCGCTTGGCCAGGTCAATCAGGTACGACCGTCCGCGATTGTAGTCCTTGATGGCCGCCACTGTCAGCTGCAAGGAAATATAATTATTAATACATATACGTTGGATTTAAGTATAGCAACCCACCTTCTCGCCACCCAGGACGCAGTCATCGGGCAGCATCTGCACCGCCAGCACAACGTTGTACATGAGGCCTATGCAGTGGGCGGCCAGTGTCATGGGAGCCAGCGAACGTGTCTCATTCGTGATGACGAAGAGCAGCACTCGGCTAGAGTCCAGCAGCGATGGGTTGTACAGGCTCTGGCGTACGGCCACCGGTGGCAGGGACCAGCTAAGCGACTCCTCTGCGACGGTTAGCTCCTCCTGCTCCTCCAACTGCAGCTGGTTGCCCCTGCACTTTCTGCGCGTACGTACAAACGATCTCTGCGTTTGCTGTTGCTCGTTGGGCGTCTGTTGTTGCTGGGCGACAGTTGCCTGCTCCTGGCTTTGATCCTGGTTCTGCTGCATCTGCTGAATGCTTTCGTGCAGTGCTGGGGTGTGGAAACTAACATTCTTCGACTGCAGATAAGGAACAGCCAGCTCAGTACGCCACTTGGTGCGAAGGACACAACTTCCGCCCAGATAGACATCTCGGAGATCTAGACCACCACCGCAACAGAGGGCATCGCCGGCACTGGCTATCGAGCTGCTGCTGGAGAATACCGAATCGTTGGAGTCGCTTTCCTCTTCCTCGGCGGGCGCAGAAACTAATTGGGCAGCCGTCACAGCATTGGCCTTGGTTTCTATTGTTTTGGTCGTGATTATTTCGGTTGTTTCAATCGACTCCACATTGAGGAGAATCTGTGGTCTGGGGCTTTTACCTAAGCTGCTCGATGGCCCCGTGGGCTGGGGCGACGAGGTGCCGCTATCCCGGCTGCGGCTGAGCTGCTCGAACAAGTTCTGTCGCTCCAGATCATGACCAATACCACTGCTGCTGTTGGACGGAACGCTGGCGTTGCTTGAAGTGCGTGAAATATTCTTGCTGGCCGAATAATAGATGTCCACATCGGGAGCTGTTTGAAAGAAAAATGGAGTTAATAAAGTTTCCTATCAAAATATCCACCTTAATAATTACCATTTGTAAAGTAAACCTGCGGAGGCGGCACATTAGTACCCTTAATGGGTGAAATACAGCCGCTCTCGTGGATCTCCTGCTGCAGGACGGACAGGTAGGCCGAGATCACACAGAACAGATCAAAGTCGATGAGCTCCTGGTTGGGCAAAGTGGGCTGGATGCAGTTGCTGCCCTCAGCAGTACCATTCCATCCAGATTTTCAACGCCAGCTCTAGGACTGTGCGTTTGGAGCAATTTCAGCGATTCGCGTTGATTGATTATGATCTTAGTTAGATTGTCTAAATTAACTAAACTCTGAGCATAGCCTAGGAATAAGAGAGCACGTTTGCACTGTTCCACAGTGAGCAGATCGCTTTGCGGATTCACGCGATCGAAGGCGCCGCGAACGGTACTAAGAGTAAAGGTAGAAAAAATCCAATTAGTTTTGTTAAATAGTATAATATTGAAATGTGAGACACTCACTCTAATATAGAAGATATTTTGGACGGTGGATCTCGGATGCCAGAGAGAATTTCCTTGGTGCGATGCAAGCCCAAGGGTATATTATCCAATACAGGCAGGCCGCGACGGGAGACCAGCTCCTTAAGTATCAATTGATTCCGATTTAGATCGAGGTATTCTCTGCAAATTAAATAAACGAATTTTGTATTTAATATTACATGGGTTTCTTTGATTATTTCGGAAATATATTAAATACTTACTGCTGTGAAATAGGCTCATTAAGGATCTTCTGATTTGGTTTATACGGATGCAAAACCAACACCAGCTGCTTGCAGTTTTGACCCGCTATGTGTGCCGCCTCGATGGCACCAGCAGATGCGCGTGTTTCCGAATCCATAACAAAGAATAATACACGGGCCTTTTCCTTAGCTCGATGCTCCAGCTCTATAAGATCGGGCGTCCAATCGGATACTTGCTGTTGGTTGAACAAATCCAAAACAAAAAGTTAGTGACAAAATTCTTGAAATAATATTAAATTAGGAGGACTTACAGGATTGTAGAACGAAATGCCCAATTCCTTGAGGGCTGGTATGGCAACGTCGGCTCGCCAGGTGGTTGGATTACAGGAGCCCCCAAGGAATACCTCCACGGGCTCATTGCTGGCATTCTTCTTCTTTTTGGTGTCATCCACGCTGCTGAAGGACTTGGTGCTCCGCAGCTCGGTGCCATGATTATCCGATTTCTTGTTGCTGTAACCAGGCGATGACGATGTGGCGGCAGCTGGCGATTGCAGATGTTGCTGGGTGGAGGTGGAGGGGCTGGCAGGATCATCTTGTTCCGGTAGCAGTGTCTGGTAGTCGCAATAAGACGGCTGATTCGAAATTGTTGAAGCTCTGGGGATAGTAAATAAAAGCATGATTAGTTAAATATATTGCAAAGGAGATGCATTCATAGACTCACCTAAAACGCTTAAGATCCGCAGCTAGAACACAAAACTGGCCAAAGGTCAAGCCATTCGCCTGTCCACTGCCACCCTTGCGGGCCACCTTCTTGGCCGTTTGCAGCATTTCACTAACTGTAACACAAAATACAACTTTAAACATTTGCCATCAAAGGATCTATGGGTAATACTCACTCTGCTTTTGGCTAGGATGGAAGCTTAGCTCGTGAAAGAGCTCCTGGGTCCGCTCGTCGGGTACTACATTGCACCGGGCCTTTCCACGCCATGCATTCAGCACTTCTCTGTAAGATATAATATAAATGAGAAGATCATTAGCAAACATTCTCTTTCACTTTTATCGTTGCTCAATATTTAAAAATAAACTGCCTTGGGTAATGGTTTATTGAACGATTTATGACCTTATTAAACAATTAGTCGATTTATGTGCCTGTGGATGCGATACATTGTGCAATTTATTGTTTTATTACTTGGCTGGAAGATACAGCAAGTATTTTTAGCATATTGTTAGTTTAGAGTTGAAAAACCTAGCCGGAAACATAGTTTTCATAAATAAACACTTGTAAAAAACAAACTGAAAATCCATATCATTTACATTTTTATACGGGGATCACTGCAATGAACCCAACCAAGGACTAGAGCGCTAATCAATTCCGTATTATAAATCTCAGTATATATCAAAATTGAACGCCAGTCACGTTTCTCGGGGTGACACATGTTTTAAAGCTACCATTTCGAGTCATGTAAAGACGAAAATGGAAATGCAAGCTTAAAAAAAAACCCCAAACCCAATATTTATTTTTAAAAAATATTACGATATTTTTGCGGCAGCCTTGTTGGGTTCTTTCTCATCGTTCGCCCTTTGCCCAGACATCGTCGTCGTCACCATCATCAGCAGCAGTAGAATCATCAGTAGGAAAAACATTGGCAATTGCATCATTTGTACAATGGAAATTTAAATATCGCGTATACGTAACGTATGCCAGCCACGCAAGGGAGAGAACCGATTGAAGCGGGCTGGAGGGCAGCCTATAAATGGGTAATATTTATCGTATATACCCTAGACCCGGGACTGAACGAAATTTTTTGCGACGCAGTTACTTGATTTCCATTTGGATTTCGAAACTGTTTTGTATTTCTTATTTATATCTCTTGGGTTCAGGCTTGGCAATGGAAAACGCAAAATAATTCATTCACAATTTGGTACACAATATCTCTTATAGCAATATATTATATATCTTTTGCGTTGTTGACAATTTCCACACCACAATAGAATTTTGTAATTTTTGTATTGCGTAAATTATTTATAATTATAATTTTTTATTGCACTCTCGGTTTTAAACACCAGCGATTGAGATTTACGACTGAACTCAACAAATTTATTTTTTGTTTATAGAATTTGTTCAGAGTTGAGAATTATTTCATATAATTGCTCTGGCTTATCAATGATTAGGGAATGGCAAGAAGAAGGTTGCCATTCGGTGAAATGACGTCAAGTCAAGGCCCAGACAAGTGACAAATAAAAGTCAGAAAATATATACATTTTTTTTTTTGCAAAATAAAAACTATTAAAAATATGATTCAAGGTAGGAATAAATAAGATGCTTTTACTTTGTGTTATTTTTATAGACTTGTAAGGGTATTATAATTTCAGTTAGAAGCTATAAAATATCGATATATATCGATTTAAGTAATGCACATATTTTAAGCTTAGTTATGATCGATTTCCGATTCAATCATTAAATTATATTGCAAAGTATATAAACTTTGGCTTCCCTAAGTTAGTTTCCTTTCTGGTAATATATAATTACCTGCATAAGACTTAAGAAAATGAGTCTAACATATGCCTGTAATTCCTAAGCAGTTATAGCAAATAGCGTAGGTTAGCGATATTTCCCCTTTTTTAGGCATACTCCTGAACATAATCAAAGATGTAAACAAGTCTACAAAATTCTCATTTTCCCAACGATTTATACAACCCACGCATCACTCAGAAAAGTCCCTGTCAAAATAGCTCTAAAAAACAAGTGTGCAAACGGGAAGACATTAATGAGGAGCAACATTGTTGGTTTTATAGCTCAACGAAACTTGTCTGTTAACTGTTTGGGCCGATGCTCTGCCCACACAAACAAAGCATAAAAAATACCATGCAACACAGAGGCAAAGAAACTCCTAACATCACAATGACACATGTTGGGCAAGAGAAGCCCGAAAGCCCCAACAACAAAATGCAAATTCAAATCCAAAATGCCAACCGATTATGTCAGAGAAAGAGAATGGTTTTTGGCTAGTTTCTGAGTTGAGAGTTTGGCTAGTTTTTATACCCTTGGAGGGAATTATAATTTTTACTCAGAAGTTCGCAACGCAGTTAAGAAGTCATCTCTGACCATATAAAGTATATATATGTATAAGTATCTTTCAACTTTAAGTAACTATGATCAGTAAATTTCTTTTAACATTAATTACCTTTGGTCAGTAAATATCAATGAACATTAAGTAACTATGATTAGTAAATAGCTATGATCAGTAATTATCTATGTGGAGTAAGTAACTATGAACAGTACGTAACTATGATGAGTAAGTATCTATAACCAGTAAGTAACTTAATCAGTAAGTATCAATAAACATTAAGTAACTCTACCAGTATCTATGACTAGTAGGTATCTATGATCAGTAAGTATCTATGACCACTAAGTAACTATGATCAGTAAGTAACTATGACCAGTAAGTACGTATGATCACTTACTAACTTTAACTAACTACGATAAACAATGACTTGCAACTTTTGTAACACAACACATTTCTGATACTCGGCCGGCAGCAGTCACTTCGTTCCGGGGATGTTAGAACGAGTTGGGAATCATATGCTCAGATGTGCGAGATTTGTTTTGGAACAAAGAGCAAGCTATTTAAATGAAACTATGAAGTTATTCTTCTTTATATTTTACTAGTATATAAATCGGCGCATGCCAATCGGTGGACTATATATATAAATATATATAGCTGACATAGAACAATCGGACGATTTATAGAACAATGATCAGTAATTAGCTATGACCAGTAATTAACTATGACCATTAATGACTATGATCAGTAAGTTTCTATGAACATTAAGTAACTCTGAACAGTAAGTATATATGACCAGTAATTATCTTTGACCAGTAAGTATCTATGAGCAGTTACTAACTTGAACACTAATAAACAATGACTTGCAACTTTTTAACACAACACATTTCTGATACTCGGCCGGCAGAAGTCACTTCGTTCCGGGGATGTTAGAACTAGTTGGGAATCATATGTACAGATGTGCGAGATGTTTTTGGAACAAAGAGCACGCTATTTGAATGAAACTATGCAGTTGATCTTTTAGATACTTTTACAAGGTTATAAATCGGAGCATCCCGAATCGGTGGAATATATATATACATATATATAGCTGACATAGGAACAATCGGATGATTTATAGAGCTATGATTACTAATTAACTATGATCAGTAAGTTTCTATGAACATTAAGTAACTCTGAACAGCAAGTAACTATGATCAGTAATTAACAATGACCAGAAAGTATCTTTGACCAGTAAGTATCTATGACCAGTAAGTAACTTAATCAGTAAGTACCAATAATCAGTAATTAACTATGTGCAGCATGTAACTATGAGCAGTAAGTATCTATGACCAGTAAGTATGTATGTATGTATGATCAGTAACTAACTTTGAACACTTATAAACAATGACTTGCAACTTTTGTAACACAACACATTTCTGATACTCGGCCGGCAGAAGTCACTTCGTTCCGGGGATGTTAGAACGAGTTGGGAATCATATGTACAGATGTGCGAGATGTTTTTTGGAACAAAGAGCAAGCTATTTGAATGAACCTATGGAGTTCTTCTTCTACAAAATTTTACTAGTATATAAGTCGGAGCATGGCGAATCGGTGGACTATATATATATACATATATATAGCCGCATAGGAACGATCGGAAATTTTTAAGAAAAAACATTATAACTTTTCCCCTTTTCAACAGATTTGCATTAAATTTAAAATATAGCTATTATATTTTAATCTATATTTTTGTTAATAATAGATATAGATTTTATTTTAGAATTAGTGAATCTGAATTTTTAGATGTTTAACTTAATCAATATCTAAGACGATTGACAACGTATTCGATGCTATATGAACTGAAAGTCTTATGATTATATCAAAGTGAATGGTAAGCACTTCTTAAGATCATGTTTAAGACATTATTATGTATTTAAAGATCCCAAATTACAGTTTATTTATTTTGTAATATAGTTACATTACTTTGTCTTGTATTGATACCCAAAATCTGGCAACACAGACAGTTTGGCCGAGAGACAGACAAAGACCAAGTGCAGGCGGCGGTCAAAACTTGTCTAAATGCCAATTACATGACTGCATCAGCTGACTAGGCACGCCCACATCTCCACATCATTCACTAAATTTGGCCTGGCCTCTCTTTACCTCTTTTTTGTTTATTTTATTTTTTTTGTATTAAAATTGTTTCGTTCTGTTGGTCTTCTATTTTTGGCCTGCTTCTGCTTCTGGCCCGTGTCTGTGTGGGTGAAGTTGCGCCATATTTGTACCGTTTTGTTCTTGTTGTTGGAATTTTTATGGCAAACAGATTTCTTTATGCTTTGTTTACCACAAACACGGCAAGAATCAGAGAGATCCATTAAGAGGAAGAGCATTGGCCGCCATCGATGAGCAAATTTGGCAGTGGCAACATTTCCGGTCTGAAAAGACGGGAATGCAACCGAGGAAGTGCAGCATCCGAACAATTAACAGATTCTTGATTTGGTCATAAATGTTGTTTTTAGTATTTCCAATGCCTATACTGAGATGCATTTCCTGATCATCTAATTAAAGGCAAACGGGAAGTTATCTTAGTGAATGATACTAATATCATTCATGATATATAATATATTAAGCTCGAGTTTAAAAATAACTAATTATTAGGCTAAGAAAGTATAGAAACCTTAGGGGTTTGCTTCTATATTTTTCAAACGATGGAAAAATTTAAATACTCATTTAAAATGAACGAACAAATATTCCAGATTTCCAGGTCAGGTGGGTCTATGCTGATTCATTAGCTGTATTCATGATGAAATTCTGGCATCGATAGATTCCAAGAACCTGACATGATGTGCCCCTAAACTGCGACGACATAAGGTAGTAAACAAGTTTGGCATTTTTGTTTGTATTTATGCTGACCAACCGCATAAAAATTAACAAATAAATAAATGAAGCGTGAGTC